CAAAGTAGCTCCAACACGCCAGGCATGCGGAATCAGCCCTAAGCCCAGCTCCGCGCGGGCGCGAGTTAAATATTAATCGGCAGCGTGTGCGCCTGGAAAATCGAGAGGGCGACGCGGCACGTGTCTGCTGACATGTACGTGGCTTTTGACTCGCATAGGCGAGAAATTCGGAGCCAAGGGCTCGTAATACTTACGTGTCTGTGGAATTGGATTTCGGGACTTTTCGCGTGCCCGAAGGCTTACTAATCCGAGAAACGGATTTGATTTTGTCTCTGCAGTTTTTCACCAGTTTTTGCATCGTTTATAGCACTACAATTCATAGAAGTTACCGAAGCTTTTGTTTTAGGGAACTGACTTTCGAAACTCATTCAAGAACTTCAGATCGTTTGATGATTGTAATAGTTTCAACTTAATTTTTGGCCTAAGAATTACTAGAACATATTTTTATCCATTTTTTAGCTCATAAATATCAACTCTATTATTTTATTATGGATCGGCAATGATCCTAAAATCAAGTTGAGAATATAGAATCATTTCAACATCATGAAAAAGACTTCCTGTTCATTTACGGGTTACACTCTAGTAAGTACGAAAATTTTATGTACCTAATACAATTTTTGAATGAAAAAACTTGTTATTAATATTAATATTTTAATTAATATTAACTTTACTCTCTAAATTTGAAATAGTGATAATTTCACTACTTGCACAAGTGAACAAGATTTTCGCTAACGAAGTAGTGAAAAATTAGGATCGTTTATTACCACCAAGTCGATATAAATTTCAATTCTAAATATTTATCAGTGATTAAACAACGATCTTGATCCAAAAAAAGATGATTGTACAACCTATACACATTATTTCGAGTAATTCCAACAATAAGTTAACCAACGAATGTAAATAGTGAAACGTCAACTTAATAGAAATAACGATTATTCACTGTTTCACAGTGAATAGTCACTAATTCAAATAAGTTATAAGTATACAACTTTGAAATAATGAAATCACCTGTTTAAATAGTGTAAATTCACTTTTTTACAGTGTATATATATTCACTTTTTTGAAAAAGTTGTATACTTATCACCAAGTATTTCAAATTCAGAAAGTACGTTTGCATGTAAATGTATACATCATTCCGTAACAATGCGCTCAGTAATTTTTAAATGAGATTAAAATCAACATGATATATTCCAGCTGAATGTGTTTTCGATTCTCGAACAAAATATCAGCGTGGGTTAATCAACTCGCACACGTTGTACCAACAGCCGAAGGGTACGTCATTGTATCTTTCATCAAATACTGTAATCAGTGAGATTCTTTTATGCAAAACATTTCGAAACGTACAAATTTAATTTTCATCCCACAACTTACTATCCGTACACGTGTGAAGTTCGTTTTAATAAACGAAAAATAATAACTCGATCATCACTAGCTTCCATGATTATTTTTTAACAAAATCAATTTATGGTCTCGAGAAATCGCAATGGATACTCTGCGAATCCCACCCAGACCGCGGTATACCCGCAAATGATTTATCGCGGTTACCAAATTTTTTTTTTCTTTTAGCGTTTGTAATGTTGTTGCGTGCCGTATCTGATACATACATTTATCTTCAACCCGAAACGAACGTGGTTATCTTTTACTTTGTGCGGATGTTAAAGCTGACGTGGTACGATGATTTCTGAATTAAAAGATTGAAAATAATCTTTTATTTGCAATTGTGCCTCATCTGCATAATAGAATTGTCTCTGCTATGAAAAAAAAAAAAAAAAAAGAAAACTAAATGAACGCTATCTAGGCTCCGCTGATGGAAAGAAAATTCCCCTGCAAAGTAAAATCGAAACGCTCTCGAAGAAAGGACGGAAAAAGAGGCTCCGGACAAATGATCACGGGGCGAATCTCGAAGCTAAAATAAACGAGCTTAAACGCGGAGGAAAAAGGAACGGTATCTTTTCAGCAATTTAGAGATTCAATTCGGCAGACGTTTCAGCGATCGAACCAATGGAAATAATTAAGAGCTCTGGAGACGTTTGGGTTTAGCGTAACGAGTCTCCTTTTTTCTCTTTTATATCATTCATCCTTGGCTCCTTTTTTCGGGGGGGGGGGGGGACCTGAGATTTTTTTTTTCTTCCTTATCGCGATTCTTGCTGTAAGAGGATTTTTGTGAATTTTTTTAGACGGGCTAATGGGCTTCTTTTGCTGATTGAGTTTTGTAATTAGGACTGAGGTGTAATATCAGTACCTTTTTTTTCTCATTGATAAAAAGATACCCGAATGGAAGAAAGTATCTTGAAAAAAATAGTGTCGTTTCGAACGTGTATTATTTTATTTCACTTGATTTATTTACTCAATCGAGTGAAGCTCTTTACAAAATTAGAGAGTTGGTAGTAGGTGCGATTGGAATTTGGACGCATACAGCTGATATATTAATGCACATGCACAGACATAGAAAATACTGATACAAAGATAAAAACGAATGAAATGAAGATAAAAATTATATAAAAATTTTTAAACAGCGATGTATATGGGAAACTTTATATATAAATTGACAATTGTGAAAAAGGAAAGTAATGTTTGTGGCTTTATACTCATATTGAATTTTTCTTTTTTCATACAGTGTATCGTAGAACTCCAAATTTTTAGTACGATTCTAGGAAAAATAAAAATTGTGCGTTTTTAAAAAACGTTTAAAGAAACAAATATTAAAATGTGATACTTTTTGAGATACGTTTTTAGATAAAATTTTTGAGATCAGACATTTTTATAGTATATTTTCAGGTAAGTAATTCTCCCACTTATAGGTAGCAAAAAAAAAGCAACGCCCCTAATACTAATAAAAAAAAAATATTGTTATTAATTCTATAAAGTTTGACATCACCCTGGCTATTTTTTGTTGAAAAAAAAATAAAAAAGTAAAATAACATGTTTAAATTTTTTCAATTCCTTTGATAAACAGTTCTGATACGCAATTCATGTTCTTGACAGTCCACAGAGGCGGAAAAGGAAACTCGACAGAAATATCTTTTAGAAGGAAAATACTGCCATTCCACGGACAAGCCGGTCTCATTTCATGCGTGCAAAGAGGGAAATACCTTTGAAGCCGCGCGAAGAGCAGTGAGCTTCCGGGCGGTCCATTAACTCGTTCAAATCGACAAGGGAAAATGTCGAGTGCGCTCTCTGACACTCTCTTTTTTTCATAAACGGAAAGGGGAAGCTCCTCCTAATTCACAGAGGGTAACGAGAGTGGAGTCTTTTGGGTTTGGGATGACACAGCTGGTGCGGAATAATTTTCTCACCGGCGGAATGCGATTGTGCCGGGAAAAGTGATATTTTCACGGTTATTAAGTAGAAAAATCAATCATGCCGATGACTATAAATTTTTTACTCTTTTTTATTATGGAGTAGTATCATGTACTTGTTGCTTGATTATTAAAAAATTTCACTCATATTCAAAGTATGACGTGTAAAATTTCTTTAATAATTACAAAATTAAATTTTTCAAATATTTGTTGACGTACAAAATCTTCAATAAAATATTAAACGACACTTAGTTTAGAGTGTAAATCCTAAAACAAAATATTTCCTTTGAAAATACAAGGTCCATACTTGTTATTGTTACAGGCAAGGTTGGACAAAAATAAGTTTTTATTTGCTCGGTTAATCAGTAGGCAATGAAACTGTGATTCAATTACCACATCGACATCCATCAAAAATACCACCCATAACCATTGGCTCTCGATGCCAGCACAAAATAAGCCAATCAAAAAACATCTTTCTCCCAAAGCTTATGAATAAAATCATCCACGACTCTCCTAGGGCCGGCTTTCGACATGATTCCCTCGATTCCCAGATGATGAATCCGATTTTCTCCTCTGGCTCGCGAAATCAGTACTCAGAGGAGATATATCGCTAGAAAGTGCAATCATACTTGCTGCAGGTCCCCCAGGATGATAATAACCCGCCACATTCAGTCATCCGTATTATTTGATCCCATGTATACATACCAGTGTGGGTACAGGTCTCTCTTTTTCAATTTACATGATCATTCATATATTTATTTTTTTTATAAATTTTCTTCTGATATTATTATAATCTGTTTTTATTTTGTTATATTTTACATACTCAACACAGTTTATAGACTTTAGATTCCTGAAACTAATATGGAAATTGATGTTTACAGTGAACTACCACGATCATGTCCAATAGTATTTTAATTTTGGAAAATTCAAGTAAAATCTAATGATTTATGTAGTAGTGACTGAAAATTTCCAATAAAAAATAAAGAGTGTAGGGTCTTCTTACTAGTCTATCTCTAAAATCTTTGTGAGTACATCAAAAATATAATCTGTTGTATTTATTGGTCTTCTTCAATTTACTCTATATTAAAGCATTACTTTTTTTTATTAAGTTAATAGTACAAAATATCGAGTGTTTTTCATTATTTTTATTATTTCTATGTTAAGGACTTGCAATTTTCATCTAAGAAAATTTACATCAATCACCAAAATTATTAAAATTCTAAGTTCACAGTTTCCGTAGCTGTATAACTAATCACATCATCAGAAATCATACTTTCTTTCCGTTAATTTCTGTTTGTTACTCAGTAATGTCGTCATTATTCAACCTTTTATCCAACATTTTACAAAATAGGCGAAATTATTAACAAGTTTTTGAAAAACAGCATTTTTTTATTTTGAGTAATCAATAGAGTTGATAAGTATTTTTTTTAATACATCAATCGTTAATTTCATATACATCATTACTCATACCTTGAGAAATTATAAGTTAATATTATTATCAAAACTAAAATAATTAAGAGACATAATATTTTAACCAGCATCTAGTGATTTACGCAACACAAGTTAGTTTTCCAGATAACTACAGTAGCTTTTTTTCTATTTTCATTTCTCAACCTGTTTCTGCTTAACATTAGTTAAAGTATATGAACAGTGTAAAGTACAATGTATAGTTCGCAAAATTTCTAATCGCAATCATGAGGTTTAACGAACGACTCGTGCAAAGAACAGGGTAATTTTTCTTTTGACGTCAACGATTTCAAACAAAAAAGGTCTATCCACTTTAAATGCTATTGGATCTGGTGTCATCGAGTCGATTTTAGATTTGTTTCCTGCAATAATATTAAGGGTGTTAACTATTTTTTATGTTGATATTAGCGAAGCAAAAATAAGGTAAAAAAGAATAACAAAATCAGTTTCATGACAAAGCAATTATTATGAGCTTTGTGTATTAGAATGTTATATGATGAATAGACTCATGGTATACTTTAGTTTTTTTAAATAATTTATATTGTTAAAGTTTATTGAATGATTCAATTTAAGATTTTTCTTTATTACCAAAGATTTAGCTGTATTATATGATCACAAAAACATAACATTACGTTTCTTTTGATATCAATTATTTTTTAATAGTCTATCAGATTTCAACTTGAAAAAACATTTAAAATTTTCAAAGATACATACCACGTGTACTTATAAATAACGTAGAAATTAAGTTTTTCACGAAAAGTTAGGGAGATATCATTAAAAAAAGTTTTTTTTGCTCAAAATGATTAATCAATGATAAAAAAAGATAAATAAAATAGTGAAAGAACATCTCGTAAATCCATGAAAATGTTTTATCTTACCTGAAACTACTCCTTTTCCACTGTCTCCTTCATCAACTTTGATAAAAACTTTTTGCATCGCCACGGAAGCGCAAACATTGTCATCACAGATCCCTTTGAAACTTGCCCCCTTTTCAAACAACTCCTTCATTCCTAGCTGTAAATAATAAACGTGTAACCGTAAGAAACAATAAACTTAGTTACATTTAGTGCTGAACCGTAAAACCATCAAACGCCAATGTCACACCTTGACCAAGTAAAATTTTAAATCATGCACCGACGTGATCTCGAACTTTGGCAACGATAGGTCCACGCTCCGACCGTGTTCGAAATTCCGATGCTCCAGTTTGATTTTATCAAGATTTTTCTCAATTTCAGCCAAACCATCGATCTCGTTGGGTACTATGAGCACCATGTACAAATCGTCATTCTGAAACAAGTCAACGGTTATCTCAACGTATTTTCTGTAGAATTCGGTCAAACTCAATAAATGGCCAATATATTTACCGCGTACGGCAGAGCAACAACTTTGGCATCGACTTCGTTTAATTCCGCAAAATAAAAGCTCCCCGTTGTACGCATCATGGGAACTTTAACGGTGCTCGTTTTATCAAGGTGGAAAGCATCTTGTTTCGTTAATTTTGGATCGAATTTGTGTTTCCAGTCACCTCTAAAATAAACAGCGTTCAGAAGCATTATCTTGTAAGGTCCAGCCATGTCATCTAAGGGATTTCGAAAGAACACTTTGAGAAAACTTCGGACCAAACTACTTTCGCCAGTTATTTTCAAACACTTGCAGACCTGAGTTAACCATCTTCTGAATTTGTCCGTTTGTTTTCTTTTTGCACCAATCGTTGACTTTCTTCGCGGACTTGGCACAGCTCTTTAAGTCTAATTCTTCGCTCTCTTCTCGAAAATACGTGCCAGTGATTTTCTTGAAAGACTTTTTGACTTTGTAAGTGGCAAAGATCTTGTTGGCAACGTTAAGGGTGACTTTTGGTGTACCCTATTGAAATTAAATAATTCATTCTACACTTAACATTTTGCTACAATTAAGATATAACACACCAACACCATTGAATAGCTCGTAACTTTGAAGCAAAAAAAAATAGTGGTATGACATAATAGAAAGTACTGAAAGCATCACTAAAAATATTCACGTTGTCATTTTTCATCACTTTGTCCTTTGTGAATTTATATAACTTGCATTATTAAAACCTAATGAACTGTTTAAACGAGGCTTTGTTGTGGCTCTATTATTCTCACGACACATACTCTAGTCTATAACTTTTCATTTAAAAATATGAATGACGTACATAAAAAAGAAAAAAAGTTACGAAATCTATCATCAAAATTCAATTTAAAATCTCGTAAAACAGTACATTCAATATCATTGAGTTCTTTCAGCTCAGCTCAACAAATTGTTGTAAAAGTGTCCTTTTTACCTAGATAAGTTTAATCTTCAACAAAAGACAAGATTAATTTTTTTCTATTTCTTTTAAAAACAAGTAAATAATTATAAGTTGGATTTAAAAATGTAGGCAAGTATAGAAAAAAGGTAACTAACTAATGTATTGACTGTAGACTAAGCAATTGAAAACATATTTAGTACAATGTGGAAACAGCCGATGCAGCGCATGTACCGAATTCCCAGAGCCATTTCCATCCAAGTCGCCAATTGTTATCTTTCAAAGCGCACTCGAGTCCAACAGTGACGCAAAAGCAGTAACCAACTCACATTGATTGTATCGACAAATTCCTGGAATCCCCGGAAGATCCGAGCGAGGTCGTCAGGCAGGTGCAGAGCCTCGCGCATCTCCCGAGCCGTGGATCCGTCGGCCCCGCAAGCGGCCATCGCCAGCACCATGTACGCGCTCGCGGCTGATACCACGCACGTCCCCAAGCTCGTGTCGACTAGACACTATACAGATAGCACACCCATTTTTTACATCAAAACTCCTCAAAGTAGACGAAGATACGCGCTTTGCACCGCGAATGTCGATTGGATATACGTTAACGCACCTTGTGGAAGTCGGTGGCAAACTTGTTGGCGTCCATGGTGACGATGATCACCGCGTCTTCGTTGCTCTTCTTCCCCATCTCGTTTGGCTCTTTGTTCTTCTTGATCTTGATTGTTTTTTCTTTGTACGAGAGCGTGTTGTTCACTGCAGCGGCCCACCCGAGCAGTGGACGGGTAGACCTCAAATCGGTAGAGGCGTGCAAGCGCCTGGGGCACAATCCATTAAGCATAACGAGGTGTATGTGGTGATTGAAATGTACAAGTATTTTTGACCAGTGATAAGGCTGCCTTTGCCCAATTTCTCTAGCTGTTTGTACCTATATATGATAATCACAATATCCAGGCATTGTTCAAACTATGAAGTGAAATAATACCTTCGCTCTTTCTGAACCACATTTAAAAAAGGGTTTGCTCATATAAAGCAATAGGAACCACTTTTTCGGTTAGGGTGTTTCTAAATGAATCAACAAAGGTATGTTTGCGTGATTTATAACTATTCGTTGTATATTAAATATTATGATCAGTCTCTGGAAAATCAAAGAGTTATAATGACTATTCACTAGGTTGATGCATTGAGTAACTCAATTCTTTGAATCAAAGAAAATTTCTTTCAGTTTATTTTATTAAATGTCTTCTTTGAAATAACAAAATTTTAGCTTATTTTAGGATGTATTTTATCAAATTAAATAATTTTTTTTTTTACTTGTGAATTTTTCATGTAGTTTTAAAAAACATTTTTTATAATGGAAAACAAGTTGTTTTGCAGAATAAAAATGAAGACATTTTTTTTTTTTTTTTTATTCAAGGAATTGGGTCACTCATTTTATGAAATAATGTCTTTCAAAGTTTTTGGAGTTAGATAGTCATTTGAATTATTTAGAGTTACCTATACAAGGAGCTTAAAATCGTCAGAAGTAAGTAGATTTCCGATGTCTATTTTAAAAAGTTTTACTGAAGTTTCAAAATAATACACAATCCTGTGAATCATAAATATTTTGGACGAAACTTAAAAGTTAGTACACGGACCTTCTAGAACAAATATAGAGTAAGTATGAGCTTTCCTATTCTGTTGCATTAACGAAAACTTTTATTTTATGCCCCTTTAAAAATTAAATTTCTTACTCTAATCCATTCGTTTTGAAATGATAAAATTAACTGTAAAGTTGATGAGAGTCAAACACATTTTTTTGTGAGTGCCATATTTATTTCATACCATTAAACGCATCCTTGTAACTTGTTATTTACGAAAAAATTATGAACTAATTGAAAGGGATGATGAATGAAGACAAGCTTAATTTCTTCATGAAAACCTCAATAACTCGCCGACGTAGCCCGTAAAATCATTTTCGTGCTCGTAAACAACCCGACCCTGCGAACAAAACGATTCATCGTGCCGCGCGCCGCGTACTGTCACCCCTCGCGATCTAATTCTCGTGTTTCCTTGTCCCTCTTTTTTTCCCTCTCTCTCTCTCTCTCCCCCCCATCTATCTATCTCTCGTGAAAGCACAGATGCTACCGCGCGGCGCTAAAATCGATATCCGTAATTCATCATTTGTATGCGACGTGTCGAGGGATCTGGTCTAGTCTTTTTTCCTTTTTTGTTTTTATCTACAATGCGCCTCCCGAGCGCGTCTATTTTCCTCTTTTTTTTTTTTTTTTTTTTTTTTTTTTTTTTTTTTTTTTTTTTTTTTTTNTTTTTTCCCCCCCCCCCCCCCCCGCGCTAATGATTGTCTTCCTCCTCCTTTTGAATATTCAACCTGCACTCCATGTAGACAGAGCACACAGCAGCGGAGTACATTCATCAACTCACTTATCGCCCTGTCGTCGTCGCGCTGCGACCGGTATGCACTTTTCCTCGGTCTCTGGGCAAAAAAAAAAAACTGTACCCGGGGAGTCAATTAATCGTCTCTGGCGCACATTTTCTGTATCCGGATCGAGTTGGCGCGTACTCGCGAGAACGTCATTCGCAAAAAAAAAAAAAAAAAAGTTCCCTCCCATTGCACGTGTCTCCGTAGATTTTGATGCGCCTGATGGATGTTACTTTTTTCACCCTCCGAAATTGTATTCTATAATTACAAATATCTCTTTATCGGAATAATAGGGCTTGTAAGATATTCATTACTATTCAAGTATGGGTATTAATAAAAAAAATTGTTTTTCTAAACTATAATGGAAAAAAGACATTTGTCTTGAGATGTCTACATTTTTTTTTTATTATTTACTTGTTTTCACGACTATATGGTTAAAGCCAAATTTGAGGAAGCCTAGCCTTATTATTTTAAAAATATTCATCGACTCAATGGTAATTCCTAATGTTATTTGTACATATCCTTGTAGTGGGACATGTTCAAATAAAAGTTAATGTCAACTACTAATTTACGGAATTGTAATAATTTTTTTTTTTTAACGCTACGTAGGTATATCAGACTAAATACTGCGTACGAGACTGTCTATAAACTAAAAACTTGTAAGGATTACTGTACTTTAATAATCCCCTTAAGATCATTGATTATAATTCAGGGGTCAGGACTAACAAAATTCAAGGTAGTGAATCCAACAAATGGCAACTGTTTTTTTAATCAATTTGAACTAAAACGCATATCATAATGTGTTACGGAGCATTAATTATAAATCATACAACATAATGTCCTCTGTACTATGACAACTGTTTTGTTAAAAGAACTACTTTTTTGAAAATATCTAAAACTTTTATGCATAAATCATAATTATATTGTATGTTCAATAATACGAAGTACATTTCCAGACCCTCGATTATTACAGCTGACAAGCGAGATTTTCACATCATTGGCAACTTACTTATAGGCACATATAAATATAGGAAGATAGTAAAGTTTGATTATAAACATAAGAAAAAGGTAAACGTCTTAGAAAACAGTATACCGCAATAACTAAAAATTCCCTTTCCGCGCAATCCCAACGAGGCATTTCCCGTAAAGATCGTCAAACAACAAACCCCTCCGTCCCCTCGAAGGGAACAAAAGTCGTTCTAAAAAAAGTATACCACCTACCGCAGCTTTCACAGCATCAGCAGACCCCCTTATAAATCTCCCGTGTCATTTCTCTCTTTTAAAAGCATTATACGAGAGGGAGGGTCAGTGCTCGCTGGGGCAGTCGTGGTATGGATATATATATATAGAGCTTGCGATTCCGAAAGGCGCTGATGTCGGTCACTTTGGGCTAATGGCTCTTTTTCCAGGCCACTCCTGGCTCTCCCGGACCTGTGTGCGTGTGTGTGCATTTTATTTGACGACAACAGCCGGTTGGCGGCGCGCACAATGGGGTTAATGAAATTAATTTTAGTCAGCCCGTAAATGGGCTCCCAGCGCCCGAAGGAAGTGAAAGCTCGACGTTCCAAGCTTTCGCGTGTACACGGCCATGACGCGAGTTTTCCCGTGTGATGCTGAATGGACGGAGAAGCTAATGAACTGACTTTTCCTTTCCTCCGGGGTTTGATTGAATTAATGTTGTTTTCATGTATTTTGGATGCAGAGTTTATCTTTATTCACAAATATATCTTTGAAAATAAAAATTCACTTCGAATCACTTGCATTGGTTTCGTGCAAAATAATTGCTATTGATTTTCGGGTCAACGAATCGTCAGGAAATCAAGACGATTGAAAATGAAGAAGAAAAAATAAAAAAAGGAACTGAAATAAAGTGACATCATAACCAGGCGCTTTATCGAGAAAACAGAGATGTCCAGTCGGCTCCCTCTTTTCAGCCCCAAAAAGCACGTGCGCTCTCTCGCGTGTATACACACTGTAAAATGTGTATAGGCCCGCGCTCAATTTGTATGTTAATTCAGCCGGACGCACATGTATAGTGTCCGCCAGTTGGGCGCTTAATAATGTCATGTTTATTCAGCGATGATATTGCGATGGCTCGTGTGATAAAAAAAAAAAAAAAAGAAAAAAAAAAGAAAAGACTGAGATAGGGGAGTCGTGTGTATTTATATGCTACCTTTGACGGCAGGGATGAATATTAACTTGCCGAGCACTGATTAGTCCATCATTCTGCGAAGGCTTCGATGCACTGCTCCTTTCCAGGGTAGTTTTTTTAAAGATGATTTGTCGTCAAGGAGATTTATCTCGTCGAATTGTTGGGTTGATAAATTTTCGTTTTACAAAAATAAATGAGAAAGATTTTCTTCAAACTTACATTGTTTATATCATCAAGATGAAATTTCAATGAAATTAACAGGGAGAAGTTGACCAAAATCTCTACAGGTTGGTTTTTGCTTGAGTATACATTTGTTGATTTATAACCTCATTTATAAATAAAAATAAAAACTCCAAAATTTAGCGATTTTAGCTTCATACGTGGAGAAAAAAAGGAAATTTAATAACAAAGTAATACCTGTTGCCATGATTGTTAACAGTATTTCTCTTTAAACAATTACAAATTATGATGTAATAATGATGCTTTGAGTCCAAAGTATCTGATACTGTATAAAATCCTAATCCAAACAAGTTTATCGAGTCGATATGGAATTTTTCATTGACTTCAGTTTTAGGTATTACTTCAGTGGTGATACATAGTGAAACCGTCAATGTTTGAACTATTACTTCAAACAAGAGAACCATACTGCTGAGAATCACTGTAAAGACAGCGCACCTAAAAGTTGTGCAATTTTTTTTTTCACCGCCAGAAATTCCAGGCTCCTTTGTCGGGGCGTAAAAAAGTCGACACGGGGAACAACGAGGGACGCTTCCTCGCGTTACTGTACGTGATTCGCACCCCACCTCTCTTTTATCCGCCCTTTTTTTGTTGTCCAGCTTCTGTCACCGAGCGAAATTTGTTGAATGCCTCTGCTTCCTCTTTTTTTTTTCGTTTTACTGTTGCTAGGGAGGATGTTTTTTTCTTCTTCCTCTTGTGCGGGACCTCGATAATAATGCCCAAACAATAAAGCTCCGCGTCCGAGGGTATAGAAGAGAAAAGAATAACGAAACATCACACCCGAGCCCGTCCAAGTGCCGGAAGCTCTCGCGCAGCGAACGAGTCGACGCCACCTCTGTACACAAGCCCGAGGGTCCGCCACGGAGGAGTATAGGTGTCGGAC